TTGCTAAAGCAAGAGCAACTCCAGCTAGCTAAGGCTAGCTTTCGTGATGAAGCTGCACGCTCGCCCGTGTCTCACTCGAAACACCTGCATGACAAACACCAGAAAGGCGGCCTGCCTTGAAGGTGGCTTTGGGCACCTAGAGGGCAGGGCGTTGCCCAGGCGGTGCCCACAGTGTCAGGTCTGAGGAGAAGAGCCGGAACTCATCGGCCCACTTAGAAGGTCCCTCCAAAACTCCGGCCCACTGAGATGTTCGAAGTACAGTAGGTTGAAGTTGCCATGATCATGGCTCTCCGACCACAACCCCGTCTCTTAACCACCAACGATGGCTGCAGCGCACTGTTTGGGTCCACCGATCTGTATCGATCAGTCAGGGCAAGAACATCCTTGTCTCAAGTCACCCACTCTCTGTTCCTCTCCAAGAGGCCAACGCGGGGACTGTTTGTCATCTTTTCAATTAGTGGTTCCAACTGTCAACCATTTTCAACCCCACTGAACCTCACTCCCAGTAGAATGCCGACCCAATCTGTCTAGTCTACTCCCTTCGACCAATCGCCAACTCATTATCAGTGGACGTCAAACCTTTGAGGATCTCTTTTCCGGGTACGTCCATATTATACCTCCAGGTGACGACCACCCCGGTGGGTGCGCGGAAAAAACGACCATGAACAAACACAGCCCCAGCGGCGATCACCGGTGGCCCTTCTTCGAATATCTTCTGGAAGCGCCGCTGCGTCGAGCAATCACGCCCGCTGAGCGCCACCACTTGCCCATGCCTCAAAGAACGGACCCGGAACCGGAGTGGCGTGAAGTGTCGGGAACTGGTGAAGGATGGTGAAGGTATACAGGGGATCAAACATCTCGGTTGGATCACGAAAGCTGCATGACGGTGTGTCTGAAAATACTTCAACCTAGCTCCAAATTCGCAAAGCCCTGGACACACACACAGAGAACCCGCACCCCTCTAGGGGCCGAGGCCCCTCTCTGGATCCACCAGCAAATCGGACCAATTCCCGATGCTGCCAGGTGGCTGATCCCCTACGATCTGCACCTCGATGTGCCGAGCGCCCGTGCAGAGTTGCATCATGAAGACGGGCGAGCCCGGCACTTCGGACCTGAAGCGGAGGCTCGGAGGTCCTCCCAACAAGGGGGCAACCGGCTGGGCATGGTTTGGGGAAACATGCTCGGAGGGTGGTGCGAAATTGGGGATTGAAAAGAACATGAAGATACAATGAAGGACTACATGAAGGAAGCATATAGGCATTTGGGGTGTTTTTCAATTTCTCTCCTTGCAATTCCTAATCTGTACATGAAAAGCATGTTTACACACCCAATTGCCAACAAACATTTGGATCAAACTGCCAGGTACTTAGACCACCCAATTCCAAAAAATACATGCGATATTTCAAAGCACAAGAAAAAGTACCATGCTGGACCAAAAAAAACGATATTCACGAAAACAGAACATGACATGTTGTGATGGGGTGTCCCCATAGAGGTAGACGTGGACCACAAATTCACTGTGAACAAATGGAAAAGTAATGTTCTCAGGTTTCTGCCTGCGGAGGATTGAGCTTCAAAAAACAGCCTGGTCAAGCTGAAGTGTTTGTGAGGTTCAATATGCTGCAAATTTCCAGTCCACAAGAGTTTCTGCAATATTTCCGCAAATGTTCGCCATATGCTCGCAAATTTCCGCCATATTCCCGCAAATTTCTGCTATAGACTTGTTTGTCAAATTTTGCAAGCGCATCCAAGAGTTACACAGTTACCCCTTCATCAATCTTTGGAATGCCCAAAGTTGAACTGGAGAGTCTGCTGTTTAGGGCTTAATCAACAGTTCTCAAAATCGTATTGTGTCCTGTTGCACCAGGTGCCAGGTCAAGATCCCCAAAGAGTACCGAAAAATGCACATTGCACTGCTTTGGCATGGCAGCTCCAAAGTTTTTTTGACCTATATGGCATTTTTTGCATACAAAGGTTGCTCCAGGTATAGACAAAGGGTGGATACTCGTAGGAGGATTCTGTGCGAGGTATACACTATAGGAAGGTCCTGATTTCTGCGCTGTTTAAAAACAATATGTTAGGTACAAGTCTGTGAGTCGAGTGGTGGTTGATCCGAGCATTGGTGACATCTGTGTTCCATCCAATAACCACCCTTGAAATGTTGTCTGTGCAGTTGAGAGATGTTGAGAGGGTTGGAAAGCCCTTCCAAACGATGTGGTTGTTGCCCTCCCGAAAATCTCGTGCCAAGGGTCCGCACTTGAACAAAGTGTTGCTCCAGTTCTTCCTTGTCCTGACGCTTTGCAGCAATGTGTTCTCACATCATTGGCCCTTCAAAGACTGCCAAGCGTCCTGTCCAGCAAATCTCACCTCCGTTCTCTCACCACATACACGACATCACAAAAAAGCCCCCCCCAAAGGGACATCTCACCACAAACACCCACGAAGTCTCCCGTCGTCTCACGGCCGTCTCGTCTGGCCATCAGAGCTCGTCTCTCTCGGGTCCTGCGACATGCGGATGCCCTTGCCGCCACCGCCCTCCGAGGCTTTCAGCATCACCGGGAAACCGATGCGTTCCGCGCACGCGACCGCCTGCTGCACGGAGGTCAAACAGGCCTTCCTCGGTTTTTTCGGTTGGGGCGATGCTTGTTTCGGACGACCGGAGCGAACACGACCGGAGGGTCTCCTTCAGGTCTTGGAAGACTTGGAACTTAAACTCGGAATCACCATAGCTATAGGGGAAACACATGGAAACATCACTAATAGGGTTCTATCATGAAGCATACCTAGCTGAACAACATGGGAACATGGGATGTTTGGGGATTACAGTTGTGGAGGAGAATCCAAAGGATTTGGAATGCAAGCAGGATGCAGGCGTGTGGAGAACTATTGAAGCCCTACCAGGATGCTTTGGGGGCTGCGCTTGGCAGCTGGTAGGGGTCTACAAACGACACCGGGTGATTGTCATAGAACCATGATCACAAATCCTCACGCAGAAATCTTTACTGCGAGACAAACTGGAGATCTTGGTTGGTTCATGCCACAGGAAATACCTGTAAAAGCTCTGGCAAGAAGCTTGAACGTCTCCTCTGGAATGGTCCCCTCTGCAGTGAGTTCTGCTGTGAGACCATCGCCGCTCCAGGGAATGGAAGGGACACCAGCCTGGGCAACGACATGCAGCGAGGACGTGCTGAGCGAACATGGATGGAGAATTGGTGATATTGATGGCGACTGGTTACAGGTTGTTCATCAAGACTTGAAGATGGAAGATGCAACATGGCATGTCCACACATTTGACCACGTTCTATTTTGTTCGTTACTTCTAGTCTTTTGAAGATGAGGATTGATTCTTTTGTTCTTTGTGCGCAGTAAACTGACACATGTGCAGAACGCCATCTACTCCCCAACTCCCTCCCTACCTTGCCAGCCATGGCTACCGTCCGCATGCTGCACAACTTGCGGCTCCAGTCTTCGGTGCCCAACCAAACCGAAGACTCGAGCCCCAAGGCTGGACCATCTTGACGCCGGACCAGCGGTCCACGCCCACCCACCCGCTCGCGCGTTTTACTACGTCCCTTGGAGCCCGTGCGGTCTGCGCCAGGATCCCAGCAGCGATCTTGTCGCCCAGGACGGACCTGTGTCCGCACAAGAGTTGAACTCCCAAAAAGGCGCTCCCCCAAAACATACGCCTGAGTGAGTCTCACTGAGTGAGTGGAGTTGACTTCTTGGAAGGCCGACCTCGACCGAGGCACGCGCAACGCGCAGCGGATGAACGTCTCTGCGGCTCGGCCGAGGGGCATGACTGGGCTCGTGGGGCCGATGAAGTGGATTCCCAAGTCCTTCCTGAGACCCGGCACCAATCGCCACGCGCGCACGAGAGGTTTCCGGAGACGACTTGAGGTTGAGGTTGACTGGACTGGGGGCCTGAAGAAATTCTCCAGAATTCCATGACAAACGGAAGGAAAGCCATTTTCAACCAGGGACGACTCCGAGAAAACTTGGTCAATGATGGATACTGCCTACCTATACCGCTCCAAATACCTTGTGAATCCTTGTGAGAAGGTGTTTGGGGTCGGTTTAGAGGGTGAACAGGTACTTGGAGCCCTAGGGCCCTAGGGGATTTGATGCAACCTGGGTCACAATACTATACAATAATCCAGCCCACGCGGAGCGATCGGACGCTATAGCTACTCGGGGCTCCACGCGCCACGCGGCTCCACGCAGCGCTCGGTCCTCGCGCCACGCGCGTGGCCGCGCTCCGTCGATCTCCGGGCTTCAGCTTCGCTGGAAGCTTGGGGTTCTCCGATGCATGGCCCCAGCCGGGCCAAACAGCATCCACCTGCCAGGCTGGGAAATATTCCAGCAACAAGAAACACAAGGAAAAAAACGATTTGGAACAAATACAATGACCTAAGACCTATACTATACTATCTATATAGTATAGTTACATCAATCATATTTGAGTATATGACATGCAAATTGATGCACATCTGCACCTGCCTGTATCTTCAGAATGATCAGCCACTCCACACAGAATGTTTCTGACAGCTCGCCCCTATCAGATCCTTATAAGGTCGCCCGGCCTTTTGTGCTTGTGCGATCTTGCAGATCAAGTCCACGTTCGCATAGTTGTTCACCTCAGCTTGGCCAAAACGCGACGCTGTGAAACCGGAGCCAGCACACAAATGTTCGTGACCAGGGTTGTGTTTGGATGTGGGATCACATGGGCCTCTCAGTCTCAAGCAGTTGAGAGACGGTCTTTTGTCTATGGAAGCCATGACTTCTGGGAGCCAAAAGCCTTCTTCGGCTTCTAGCCTTGGCCGATGATATAAAGTAGCATCATGTACATGAGAGCCTGCCCCCATTCCCAAACCGCCACGTCTTTTGCTGTGAACGCACATTGGCGATGAGAGGACGCAGGATGTCTGCCCGGTCAAGCGCCCTCGTGTCAGACGTCACCACCTGCCCCCAACACGCTCTTCCCAGGGCCGCCCAGGCACGTTCTTCCCAGGAGGCACCTCGACATGCTTGTCGGCCAGGCGGATGAACTCTGCGTTGGCCTCGCACGGCCGGTGGGTGGCCGACGGGCCGGGCCGTGGTTCTGGCGGACACACGGAAAATCCATGGGAAGGCCTTTATCAGCCTTCTTCCACAAGGGATTTATATAAGTTTACGTGGGGGTGTCCTCCAATCCTTCCCAAAAAAAGCTTGGGCAGGTGCACGTACTTGGCTAGGACAATGTGGTCAACCCTGCTGAACCCTGGTGACTGGTGACCGGTGACCAGGGGTCTTGGCCGGTCATCATAGCCTTCCCGAGGCTTTTTTGGGGATCCCAAGTGCACGGTCGTTGCAGGCCATGCGATGATCCATGACCCAAACACTCCATGGAACTGCCATAGTTGCCGATCAATTGACCCCCCTAAACCACCCCTGGCCGTTTCTCGGCAGTCCTATGGCAGTCCCATTAGTCGTGTCTGGGATATCTTGCATTGGGTTTTCACACTACATATTCTGTACAGGTGTGGGCCACTTTTGCAGCAAGTAAACGAGTGGGCCTGCCGGAACGCACCCATTCATCTTCCCGATACACCATGTCATGGAAAATATGCTGCAATATTGGCAATATGTTGCAATATTTTACAGTGACACCCTTTCCAATCACTCAATCGGTCAGCGAGTATTCCAGGCTGGTATGGGTTGTCTGGGCTTTAGCCTGACTCCATTGCGACCTGATCATGCCTTCGAGATCCTTCGGGACTACTCTTATTATGATCCCGGACTACCTCCACAATTTATTTGATCATGAACTTCTTTAAGTATGATGATCCAAACACCAGGTTCGTCAAAAACAAACACTTCAAGGTCCTGGACTCTTTGTCCAACCGAACAGCCAGCCAAAGTCGGGAACATTCCATCCATGGAGCGGTTGTGACCCCCCCCTCAGTTTCCCATGAAAAATCCGATTAACGGCTTTCCTTTGTTTTGAATGAGGAAAACCAAACTCAACCAATGCCCCCCACAAACAGTTTCGTCAGGTTGTCCACTTTTGGGGGGCCTTCAGATGCAATTCAGATATCCGCACCCTGCATTTTGGCTCCCTCCCTCCCTAAAGATCTCCTCATCCGAGTAACATCGAGGTCATCCTTCGTGGCCATCGCCACGAACTCTAGGATTCCGCTGGAGCCCAGGTTGGCCTTGGAGAGGTCTATTTCCAGTCCCAAACGGTGATGAACCCTCATATGGACGGGTCTGGGGCCTCAATTCCCTAGGTTTTGAGGGACAAAGGGCCGTTTGGAGCGTCTGGGGTGTACAGTAGTTTCAGAGAAGGCACCAAATACGAAGGTGTCGTCTGGTCCGTAACACAAATTGGGCGCTTCTATACGCGGAACGCTTTTCCTATCTTTGGTGGCGCGCGTCTAGCAGAAGGACCTCCTACACAGGCCTTCAGGAACTTGGGACTTGAAATCCGACACGAACCGAGACGGCAAAAGAACCTTTGCCTCCCAATGCACGCTCTCGGAATCACGACGAATCAATGTGAATTAATCAATCTCTCTCTCTCTCTCTCGCTTCTCTCATCTTCTCTCCCTCTCTCTGCCTCCATGTGTGCCCACTGCCGCATGGACATCATCACCTTGGCGGCCGCCATCCCATTGCTGGCCACCAAAATCCGCCGCACGGCCTGGCACCGCCGAGACCCGGTGAGACGGCCGGTGGGCGAGTCTATGTGGATGAATGACACTCCATGGGCCTATACCTATACCTGCTTAGTGGGAACAGCACAGACCGAAGGTACTTCGACCCCATCAGGTTCACTCTATATGGGCCTATACCACCTATAGCGCGGCCAAGGGATGGACATAGCTGGCCCAGTTGACCATCTCTCCATTGGGGTTGATGGCTCACCACTCCGACCACCACGGTCTACGGGGACACATGTGCTTGGTCACACCGAACAGCGCAGGGTTTTAATGGATTAAAACATGAAATGCCAATTGGATCTTTCAGGCGGATCTTTGGGAGAACAAAACACTCCTCAGTTTGCACTGGCCCAGATGGAAACCAAGCGATGTGCACGACTAAGTCATTAGCTGCATTGGGCATCAGCTGGTTGGACACCTTTTGGTCACACCATCTCACTCTAAGAGGTGTTCCATGGTTTTCCCGCTAACACTCATATGTCACATATGTCTTAGGTTCCAGTGCATATATGCTATTACGCCTTCAAGATACCAAACCACTTCTTGGATTGGTTTTAGACAAGTATAGACATGTGTAGACATCGGAAACACTCACAACTTATTAAACCACTTGCTGTGTTGGACTGAGTGGTGCCTGCTGTAGGCATGCGTTCGGATGCAACATGTGCTGATGTCACTCCAAGGCAGCCAATACAGTAGATATGGCGTTGCAACATGTTGCAACAACAATTTTGTTACTCTGCTGATTTGCTGTCTCTACAGAAGAAGTCGGCAGTACGAGTCAGTGCCAACCCTTCATCCCCGTCCAGTTCGCCTGCTTTCCACCACAAGCGTTCACATAGCTCTTCAGCGGGTCCTGGCCACCCAACCACATCCGCCCTTCTGCATTGGCGGAACCACGCATGTCATCGAGTACATGTTGCCGGAATAGAGCTTTAACAGCATAAAGCATGGGTTCTTGGGCTCTTAAGCTCTTGAGCCCTTGGTACATGGTGTCTTAGAGCAGTCCAGTGGTTTTGCATCCTGGGTCTCTTGCGACGGCGCCAGGAATCTGCGAGCCGTACTTGGTCGTCCCATGACTGACTTCTGCCAACAACTGAGGATATGCAGCCGAAGACATCACGGCACCCTCCAGGTCTCCTGGGGACAGACCCGAAGGAGAAGGTTTCAATCGGTGACCTGGAGGGTGCTGGAAGAAAAACAACCCGTTCATGGAGCAATCTCCCAGTCCAAGTCCCTCTCGTGGCCCGTCACTGCATGGAGTTAAGGCAACAAAAAGACGTTGACCATGTCTGTACATATAGTTCCCGCTACTCCAGGATTACTAGAAGCCGAGGTTTTTCTACCAAACTCGTGGAGAGTCTTCCCTGAGATTCACGAGCACATCTGGGTGGTATAGAGAGATCAGCCACCATCAAAACACATGCCCGCCAAAGAATAATTACATTATTATGACAAGGATATTGTGTATAATCATCAAACTTATTTATACAGCTGTCAGCCCAAAAGAAATCGTGGAGACAAGAAGCAAAACTCGTCAACGTTCCGTCTCACGTTTCACATGACACAAAGCAGCTGATGGCACTCTCATCTTTTGACCACGGGGTTTCTGCGTTCAACTCAGTCTTCGACTCACCCCTGGACCAAAGACTGCAAAACGTCATCCCACAACTCCTGCAAATTGAAGTCCACTCGGACAGCACTCCCAAGCGAGAGGACCTCTTCTCTCGACAACCTGTCACTTGGATTAGATTCACTTGGTACTCGCTCGTACCATACTGAAGACGACGCATTCTCCTGACAATCAAGGATCCAAGACACTGTCCTGTGACACACGGCGTTCTCCGACGCGCACTTAAGTAGAGACCCTTTGATGGACTCCGAGTCAGTGAACAACACAAATCGTCTGTTAGGGTACGACGGCAACCATTCTCTCAAGGCCAACAAGGCAGCAAAGCCTTCAAGCTCTTGAATGACCACTTTGGCTCCCTCGCTGCTCACGGAGGCAAGCCACTCATCCGGCACCCTGAAGCTGAAGAAATTCTGCGCATCCCCTGAGCTGTCATACAGCACACCACCAACACCACTATATCCGCCTGGGCAGAAGGATGCATCTACGTAAATGTGCACAAAGTCGCTGTAACGGCTGTCGATGACCCTTGACAACCCAGAGACCAACCGCGAACGAATGCTCACGAGGGCTTGTCTTAGATCGTCACTGATCTGTGCCCAGCCCCTTGAGACATGCCTATTCAAGACTGAAAGGAGGAGTCTGAATTTTCTCCCGAACAGCTGTCCACTCGCGAACTGCAGGCGCCCTCGGAGCCTTTCACCGTCGTGACGCTTCAGGCGTCCACAAGCCAAGATGCTATCGATCTCGTCTGTGAGCTCGGCACTTCGGTCTTTCGTGTTGGACACTAAAGCTTTTCCGAAGACACTTTGTCCAAGATCCAACTGCACTCCCAGTACCTTGCAACAAGTGTTGAAGGGTACAAGTTTCTCGACTGACGGCTCCCATCCCAGTAATTGAAACATCACAGAGATGCAAATGTCGGTATGTCTGGAGAGCGCAGGCGTGGTCAGGGACAAGAAGTCGTCGAAGTAAGCGCTCCAGACAAGTTTCAACAACTTCGCCCCTATCATCCAGACGGCGGATGAGCACCGCAAGAACGCGGTCACGGACGCGACGGATCCGAAGGGCAGAACACGCTGCTTGTAGATTTCAGCTAGCTGGGACTTCGGGTTGAAGAC